TAATATCACACTTAAATAAATTGTTGGATTTAGTGTTGTGAAAAGATAGGGAAAGGTAATTTCTCTTAAATGCAAAAATTGAAGCAGCTGAAGAATTAATGTACCTGAAAGATATCGAAGCCTGTGAACAACATCAATTACGTATCGTGACGTCATTACTAAAGGTACACAATAATACACACATGTAAAAATAGATTTTTTTTTAAATGAGGTACGTAACTTTGGTTTATTTGATGATAAACTATACTAGGTACATGTTTATTATTTATAGGAAACAGTTTTCCATGAAATTCTCACCACAACAAAACCATTAAAATACAGTACATTACAAATTCTGTTTTGAAGTAAATAACTACTCTTCCATCTTCACTGTCAGTCCTCTTATTCACAATACTTAAAGCGCCTATATATAAAGGACATACATCGCCCCTGTCAACTCATGCGCATTCATACGCCACTCCCGCACACCAATTGATTCAGCTAATATAAGCACTCGTCACGATGATTTGTGTCTTAAGTAGTTTCATAATCATAAACAGCTTGTCGTGAGTAAATTAATGGCATCTTTTTAAGAAGGAATATGAAGTGTTATAATCGCTCACAGGAGTTTAAAACAATAAACATTATTTCATTAATAATCACAGATGTGGGTATAGGAGCGACACAGTCAAATTGCGAGACAAATTAAATTTATTGATAGATAAGATAAAATAATATAGATAATACTTCTGTACTTTTTTAACATCCTCAGCATTGACATTCATTATTTTTAAACGTTTTTTTAACGTTGTAAAACTAGACATTTGTTTGTAACATAACGAATCCAATAACGATTAAGAATAACGAGTGTCACCACCCCTATTCATCTCGTGGGTGTCGTAAGAGACGACTAAGGGAGCGAACTACGCAGAACAACAGCACTGCAGAAAGAAGGAAAACTTGACACAAACCTTATACCAACCCGTCTGGCCAGCGTGGTATAGTAGGCCAAAACCTCCTTTCTAAGGAGAGGCCTATGTCCAGCAGTGGACTGTTAAAGGCTGTTGATGTTGATTGTTGATTTGTTGATTGTATCAATTCAGTTCAGGCGTTCTTAATGAAATTATATATATTTTTAGAATTAAAGGTCATTTTTACAATATATATATGCAAACGATTGTCAAAACATGAATAGGTAAGATGTAATCAAGATTCAACCAAAACTGTTACGTAACTATCAACCTAATGCTTTCATATGTCTCAACATAGTAATATTAGTATATCCTTCTACTGTCTAACTTAAACTCCTATTCACAAATTACATATTAGTTCTAGTCAATGTTCTAACCTTGGGTTCTTTCTTTCCTGTAAGCGTGGGAAGTTTTCGGGAAACTTTGTTAACGTAAACTTCTTTACTGATAGGCAAACATTTGATGGAGCAAGAACGCTCTTGATTTATTGTTGCTATTATGTTTTAAGTTTCGTGACGTAGGTATATTTACTATAAGCTGTGAAAATATAATTATTGCAACTAGATTCTATTTTTGGTAATTTGGTCTAGTAGGATCCTCCGGCCAGGCAACCTGATCATGCCTGGCGGACCGCGATCCAACTGTAGATGTTTGAAATGTTGTACATATGCTAATGGGCGCGAGAACTTTCATTGCACTATGTAGGATTAGTAGTTACTCCGTAGATCAGTGTCTTCAAGCAATGATTATACTGAAGCATGTTTCCGTTGTAGGTAAGAAATCGCCACAACACTTTCCAGTGTCAATGAAATATAGCCATTTTACGTTACATCATAATCTTTAAGTTTCTTATTTTAATGTTTTATTGAGATTAACAAAGTAGTACAAAATTAATAGAGAACAGAATTAATTTAAAGTAAATTTTCCCATATTTTAAGATGTTTTTACCTATTTATACTTAAAAAAAGGCCTTGAATGACTTGGTCTATAAGAAATAAAACAGTTCAGAAATAGTGCAACGCTTGCCAAAAATGAGTATCCAGTAAAAAATACCTACGAACACTCTCAATAAGATTAAAAAACTAACATGATTACGAACAAGCTATCACCGATGTATGAAGTATTATGAAACACCTGAATTCAACGTAATGTAAACATCTAATCCAGCAGGGGTTAATAAAATCATTCTGTAAACTGTAAACCCGTATTTCGGTATGTTGTGGTCGTAATTTACCTGCCTCTTGACTTTTACTGTTGTACTCGACTTTTTTACTGTTGTAGTAACAAGGCCGTCTAGTAGTTCGCATGATTGCTTAAATACAAGATATTTCTGTAAATTGCCGAATATACCAGATATTCGGCTGGGTCATATCCGCCAGTTGGGGGATTATCCTGTGTTTATTATCCTACTAATTTTTGTTGTAACCTGGTTCTTCTTTTATACTGTGTATAGTTATTCCATTAGTAATGACGTCATACTCAAATTGCATCACACGTAACTAATAAAAGTTATCACAGTAATTCAGCGTAGATTCTTTTAGATACTAGTAACCTACTTCTCAAACTTTTTCAGTAGATTTTTTTGTCCAAAACCTCTATTTCCTATTTTTTTTATTACAATCATCGTAGTTCATTTGATCTCTATCTATCTCGCTTCAGGGTCGTCCAAGACTCTGTATCAATACGGTAAGAAAATTACAATCTATCTCTATATATATTAGTTTACAAATAAACGTTCTCGTAGTATCAAAATACCACATATCAAACGATCGAGTGTTTGTTTAAACAGGCAAATATCAGCATGATCAAACCTCGATCTAATGAGGCAGAGATTACATAAAATTATATGATCATTTGCAAACATAATACGAGTATAAATTTTATTAACCAGTACACTTATATGTAATTCACCAACAAAACATAGCACTATACTATTTTTTATATATACTTTATATTACTTTGGCTACTTTAAGAAACTACAAATAACTAAACGAAAGTTCAATGAATTGAGCAACACTAAATATGCCAAATTAATACTATTAAACGGCGTGAATTGTTTGAAAGAGAACAATTTAAAAATGTTTAACGTAAACAGAACGCCATTGAAGTAATGTAGACCGATTCCTATCAAGAACCGCTTAAGTCTGTCAAGCAGGCCGTGACTGATAGATGTATTATATTCGCGTAACTAACTGCAATCAGTAAGTTCAGTTACGCCGTCTGGCCACCTAGAACATCCACAGACAACTCTAAATTTATTCAGAGTAGCTTCGCACACCGTATTCGAGTGATTCTGACAATGAAGTCGGACCGAGTAAACAATCGATCTCTCATCGCAACCTGGCGCTCGCCTGTCGTCGCTCACGTTGGCGTATCGTAAATCGATACTTACTTCAGTACAACACTAGTCGTATTGAGTGAGTCGGATTTTATGACTATTTTTGTGATTATGAAACTTTGGTATCTGTTGATTGGAATGTGTAAGCGATGGGAAGTCTTCATCTGGTTTAACAACTAAACAAAATATTTAAGACATTTAGTGTGGTTTATGGTGTATAATTTTACTAAATTAGAATAATGTTGTAAATTGGTGTTGTCGTGCGATAAATTCTATAAACTATATGTTTTTGATAAGTTTTCACAAAAAAAAATCTTCAGGAATTATACAGGGAATAACTTAAGGAAGGGAATTAAATAAAAAAAATTCCTATGCAAAGCATGTTTCTTTACATGGCTTTTTCCTAGGTAAAGAAACATGCTTTGCATGGGCGTTTTTTTGAGAAGTGGACAATACAATTTATGTGCCTTTAGCGTAACCTCATTTCAAATGTTCCTGAAGCATATATTAGAGAATATAATTTGTTGTGATGTCCCGAGTGGCACCCCGACTGTCTTTTCTGTATAATTCAGCCCTTTTCAAGCATTGTGGGTATCCTGGTGCATTCTTCAGGTATAAGCGAAATTATAAAAGTTTCAAAAACGATTAAAATTTCCTGTTTTTGCACTTATAAGGCTATATATCTACATACTAGCCTGTTGCTCTATCGGTTCATTGACTTTAATTTATTACTCTTGGTAGTAGGTAATAGAATAGAATAATCTTTATAGTACACCAATTCACAATGGCTTTAAACACCAAACTTTCAATAGCTACTACTACTGTATTAAATATATTAAAAAATTGTGGAGATCAACCACGAGTTTTTAAACTCGAACCCAGTTTACTTTTTTTTCATCTTTGGATTTCATTTAATTCTTCAACTTTTGCATTAATGTAATTATTGAATTTACATAAAATAAATTTTAACTTAAAATAGAAACATACATAGTCCTAGCTTTAACAAAAAGATATTATATGGGACCATAGAATATTGAGTAGCGAGTTTGAGCTCTTCAGATCCAGACATCAAAAAACTCACATCACATTTCAAAAAAAGTTTTTCTTTTTTTTTTTATCTGGAAAATTTTGGAAAAAGGAATAGTCGGTAGATGCAAGGTCTGGTGAGTATGGCGGATGAGGGAGAGCTTCCAACCCCAGCTCTTGCAGCTTGCAGACTGTCTGTTGCGCAGTATGGGGTCCCGCGTTGTCGTGAAGGGGCAGTGGGGACGACCGATTGACCAAAGCTGGTTGCAGATGTGACCACCAGACCTTGCACCTACCGACTATTACTTTTTCCAAAATTTAGACAACGTTTTAGTGGTTAAAAAATTCAATTCCCGAGAGGAGCCTTTGAAGAGTTTGTTGCCTCCCGTCCAGCTGATTTTTACAAGAAGGGCTAAATAAACTGCCAATGCGTTGGCAAAGATTGAATGGGTGATTACTTCGAATAACAGAAAAAAAAAAGTTTGAAAAAATAAGTACTTTCACTTATTGCATACAAAACGGCAACTTATAGGTAAAGACCTATTATAAATAAAAATAAAATAAAATAGATAATGATCTCTAATTAAATTAGGTTTCATCAAAATTGCACCGTCTCAACTTCCTTCAGTGACTTGTCAACTTAACGACCCTATTCAGTAGAGGTAACTTTTTATAATTTGTTCTAGGGCATCCGGGAGCGCAGTTATCCTTGACCCTCGAATGATTTGCAAGAAGAATCGTCGAACAAGAGGTCGACTTGCCCAGATCTGTAGAAACGAGACTGGGCTCCTGAAAGAGATTACTAGGGGAGTGACACTGGGTGCTACAGAGTGCGCGCATCAGTTTAGAAATAGAAGGTGGAATTGTACCACACAGAGACGAAGCATGAGGAAGATACTCATGAGAGGTAATATTTTTATTTTTGTTACAATTTTTTATCGTGATCTGAAAAAGTTACTGCTCCACAGCCTAAAGTGCGATTTTTAAACATGCCTGAGAGACCCACTAAAATATGTTGCCTCCCAAGACGTTTGTATTTAATCTGAACGTGACAAGTCCGATTAATCTTTAGCCGCTTTTTTCTATTCTACTATGCTAATAATAATCAGAACCTATAGCGAATACCTAAAAGCACCGTTATGGCACTTAAAATATCGTATATATATATAGGATAGTAGTGCCAATTCAGTAGAATAAATCATGGGTAACCACAAACACGATTTTATTTAATAGGACATTTATTGCCCAATATGTACATTACTGTCTATTTATTGGTCGATGCTTCCTAAGATATACTTTGCTAGATTACTGTTTTACCAATCTAAGGTTTTATTGCCACTTTTCTCGAAGTAAAGATGTAGCTAACAGCCTCAATAAATGGGTATAAAACCTTAAAAATTATCATGTCCTATCTCGAGTTCAACTGTAATATTGAAATTCTATTCTCGCTTAAGTTAATAACAATAACGGTAGACCTTACATTACTTTATCCTCGCCGTCTCTCGTCCTCCAATTTACCTGTTTGTTTATTAATAGCTTCTTTCGGTATTGTACCAGATACCAGAGATAATTGTTTTTATTTATATTCAAAATTAAATAGATACAATGAGAATATTCTGGAGTAAAGATTGAAGAAACGTATTAAATTTGATTATTATAGAAATTTCGTCTGTCCGTTTGTGTTAAGATTTCAACCTATCAAAAGAAGACTGAAATAAATAGAAACCATTTATTTTTAACCATATATTTATGGCTACTGGCCTATGCAGATAAATTCGATCGATTGCTTTAGACAGAATAGAAACAGGGGTCGTATGGTTAGAAAGCTGTACATCTAAGAGTTCTAAAAATTCTTTTCGAAAGTACACTTTCGATGAAATAACGATAGAAAATATGCTCACTCCTTACTCCATTACGATTTATAATATCATGTTATAATGCCATTGCACTTGTGACAGAAAGTAATATAAATTTGTACTGCATTGTACTACATCCTCCTTTGAAAATCGATTAAAAGGTATGCATCACAGAATTTATAATTAGTATGTTAAGACTAATACATTAAACGATCAGCTCATTCAGTTGTTATAAATTGAAAATTGTATTCACTTTAATATAACTCATGAGCAAAATGGCACTATAAAATCACAAAGATAATGGCATTAAGAAATTTATATTTTAAAACAGTTTTCGTTTTAGGCATATTATCGAAAAATACGACCCAGATATCGTCAAGTCATAATACATTACAAGCCCAAATTACATAAACGACGAACAAAAGCTCGATCGCTAAACATTCATCGATAGATATATTATCGACAAAACGGCGATGAGTTCATCTACATTTAAGATATTGTAGAAGGACGACTACCTGCTACCTTTATTAGTCGTTGCACAAAAGAATGCAAAACGTGTTAAGTCGTACAGATGGATATCGGGCCCTAATTCGATTAGGCCAAAGGAGTTGATTTTTATGCGACCACTCGTTTATCTAAATGTGTACATTTAGTGAAGAGCCTTTTGTTATCGATAATTTTGATCCTTCCCAATCTATTTATCCCAAAATTATAAATATAGAAATAACGATATTTAAAGAGAAGAATAAATGTTGTTGTAACAGATCTTGGACAAAATAAAACCAATAAATATTAAGCTTTGTGTAAGAAAATGGTGGTAACTTTATAACAGACTTTATACCAGGTTATGATGAAGTCAAACGGAACTTGATTTTCTCTCAGAAAAAATATATGAATGTTTTTGATTTTAATATCCTTGTCGAAATACTTTTAATTGTTATTAAGATTGAATGACCTACTTATTTATGCGGATTGGTGATTAAACAAATTTTATCACGCCTTATTGAAATGATGGACGTGGTAAAACCCAATCAAACATCCTAATTTGTTCTTAAGTTACTCATAATTTAGTAATGAATTCTAGTTAGCAAGCAAATATGTTAAAACAACAGTTTGAAAGGTTATCGGCAACATTAATCCCACACCTACACAGACTCACAGAATCGATAAAGTGACAACACTATGGTGCCACCATTCGTCGTCAACATGCATTCATTTGGGATTCATTAGCGTAAATTAAGTGGTATTTGTCAAAATTTTGGGTGTACACAAAATATTTATAAGATATACCACCCCAAAGCTTTGTAACATTCTGCAATAACTTATCTGTGATTGTACCCACACCTTTTTTAGTCAGATTACCAAAAAAGTGTATACACCTAAATTTTTTATTACATATAGGTCTATAAAATATAAAATACGTGTTGTTATTTAAAGTGAACGCATGTTTTTACGATGGTGTTGGGTATCGACAACCATTTTGCTAATGTATAATAATATACATTAATTAGATACTTTATTGCTGGGCATGATAGCTTAATTTGGTGCTTTTGTTTCATAAACGTGGACGTTTTGTAGCAAAACGAGAACATCGTAATCTTATTTAATGAATTCTCGAGCTTCTAAATCCTGGATTAAAATCCATTTTGGAGATAAGAGGGAAACGTCCTCAATACTAAATTAATTATTAAAAAAGCAAAACAAAGATGGTGGTGGACGCGTGGGCGGTGGGTCTTGATGAGGGGTGATCAGTGCGGCGGGACGGGAGACTGGGTGTACGGTAACAAATTAGGTTAAAAGCCTATAAATTGATGCGAACAGCGATGGGTGGCGCGGACGCACAGCCTACAGATTTGAATTAGTCCTTGGTTTTTTATCACTTGGTGACAAGAAAAAAATAATACAGGTTGATTATGTTGGTCTCATTGATTTGTACATTTCAAGTAATGATAAATTAAATCCTGCAGTAAACAGAAAATTCAAAAAAAAAACAAAAATACATTAAAATTTGTCATATGTGTTTGTTAAATCTGCATATTAATATTTTGAATTAATTAGATAAGTAAGTGCCTAAACTTTATCTTAAATTCTTTTCTATTACTTTTGATCATTTTATGTCATCGGTACCTATATCAAATGCTCAACAGACAATATTTTGCCCTGCACACAAACTTATCACAATAAACTATACAGAACACCAAACAGCCAATACCAGAAAAAGCGTTTCTATCGCTTTTTTTAAAAAAGACATTGTATTTTAGCAGTTACAATTTAAACAATTAACAAAGTTCCGAAACATCCTGTATGCAACTAAAGTACTTATGAGAAAAAAATAATCATCGTTAATTGGTCCCTTTCATTAGTAAGTCAGTGGTCGGTGCATTCCTACAGTTTTTATCATGTCAAAAGTTTATCAATGGAAAAGGATTTCATTCTTATTTAAGTTTCTTTATCAGCCGTCCGATGACCGGTGCACGCTTAAATAATGTTTCACTTGCCGTACCTACCGTTATTTATAATTAATATTTAATTTCAATAGTAACCACGACTTGAAATAAAGTGAGTTTCATTGAATAACTGCTTTGTAACTGTATATGTATTAATAACTAAGTAATCATATATTTGTTTAGTGATGTGAAATTATATCGTTGATAATTTTCTTTCGAAAAGTGTGATTGGAAAAATTTACTACTCGCGAGGTTGTTTAGGAAAGTTGTGAATATATTTATTAAAATAAGGTAAACCGCTTTTTTTATAAAAAACACATCGTTGATTTATATTTTCATTCTAGGAAGAAGTTAAAGTGTAGTATTACAAAATAAGTTAGAGTTTGAAAACATACCTACCCATAACAACAGGCTTCATACGTATTTAACCAATAATAAAAAATGGTGTTAATACTCTACCTGTGTGAATTTTTTTCATTCATTGTTTTACTTTTGAGTTTTATTCATTTTTAAAGCATAAGCGGTGTTTACATATAAGTGGCTGTTGCATTGTTATTAAATATTTGAGCAATATGTTAGGTTAAGAAATTAATGTAAACAGTTGTTGGTGTATCTTTATTAAGAAAAATAAAAAATATTGTCACTCTAAATGCAAGATTGAGATGCAAAATTTACTTTTGGTGTCTTCATAATTTCTCACTCTCAATGATAATATTATAGTTTCAATGTGTATTTAACTGAAAAATCAAAAATCATGTAAACCATTGGAGCAATATAATTTCTCATTATCAATAAAACTAAAAATAAAAAGTAGTTACTAAAATTCAATTCTGCTATCATACTCAAGTCAATCAAAACATAGTTCATAAAACGGCAGCTCGATACAGAATCGTAAATACCGCGACACCTTATCTCACTAGAGTGACGCCAAGTTTCCCACTCAAACAAAATAGCCTAATTAAGCTATAAACAAAGCCACAAACACGGATTCGAAATCTCTCAAAATATCGAAAGGCCACAGTCGCTTTAGGCACTAATCTCGAGGGGCCATTAAGTGTGGACAGGTCGCAGCAAGCAGTCCCCGGAGGCTCATAAAGATTACCACACGATAACCTGACTACTGAACCCTTAAGACCTCACACATGCCCACTGCGCAACATAAATACTTAAGAATGACTTCATATCGACAAAAAAACGCAGCGATAAATTTGGCGCCCCTAACACGTAAATGTTCTTAATTATAGTGTAATTATCTGGGTACGTTTCGTATCTAATCTATGCGCATACGCAGGGTGTTGTCAATTTTATCGATATCGATTATTGGATCAAACGCGTCACATAAATTTATATTAGACATAGATGTTATAACATTAAGAGTTCGCTTTAAAACATTGAACTTAATGTCTATTTTATTTCAAGAAATTGAAGTAACATCTTATTTAGTATTTAGGTAGTCTTTAGATATTAGTTTCCTGGCTATCAAACTTCTCTCAGATTAGAAAAAAATCAGTAACAGCCAAAAATGAATAAGTGATGAATCTAATTAGGGGATACTTTTTTACCATATTGTTTTATCATAAAATATCATAACCCCTTGTGACGTA